TTTGGGCCCCTCACTCCCAGCAGGACATGGAGGGGCTGGAGCGTGGCCAGAGAAGGGCAGCCAGGCTGGGGAGGGGGCTGCAGAACAAGTCCCATGAGGAGAGGCTGAGGGAATTGGGGCTGTTTGGTCTGGAGAAGAGGAGGCTGAGGGGAGACCTTCTCGCTCTCTGCAGCTCCCTGACAGGAGGGGGCAGTGAGGGGGGGTTGGTCTCTTCTCCCAGGTAACCAGCATCAGGGGAGGTTCAGACTGGATATTGGGAAAAATGTCTTTCCTGAGAGAGTGGTCAGGCGTTGGCCCAGGCTGTCCAGGGCAGTGGGGGAGTCCCCATCCCTGGAGGGGTTGAAAAAACATGTAGATGTGGCACTTGGGGACATGGTTTAGCAGGCATGGTGGGGTTGGGGTGACGGTTGGACTTGATGATCTTAGAGGTCTTTTCCAACCTTAATGATTCTATGGTCAATAACCATTAGGACAGCCAGTGGCACTTGACAACGCTGAGATGCAGGAGCTTGCAAGACAAGCACCGGCAGCACGCTTTGCTTTCCCACCTTCAGATCAGGACGGGTACCACACACAGCCATTCCCTTACCGATACTGAAGTTCGTTCTTCTCTGGTAATCGCCACCGAGACGTGGCACTTTCACAAAGTCATCCGCAACCAGCACCGTGTCGAACTCCAGGCCTTTGGCTTGGTGGACAGTCCCTATCAGGTAATCTGTAACCAGCGCACGTGGGGAACAAGAAGGAAAAAAAGATCAGCCACAGCAGCAATAATGGTATTTTTAATTTCACGAGGCGCCAAGTCAAATGGGATGACTTCATTCTGCATTTGTTTCACTTTTCCCCAAATATAAATCACATGCAAAGTACCTCCGTCGGGAATCTCGACTGCTGAAGACAACTTCCCTGCTAAGGAAAAAGCCTGGTTGTTGTCAGCAGCCTGAGCCCAGCTCCCAAACAGGAATGTTCTTTATTTGATGAATTTTTTACTGGATTGCTTTGTCCCCTCCCCAAATTTTAATCATCGAGTTGCCAGGGCAACTCCAACAGGAATCCCAAAAAGCAGGATAAAGTGCCAGGGCTTTCCAAACTGCAGGAAATACAGTGGCCAAAGGTTTATTTGCCTCTAGAAAACTCACGTTAATCACAGAATCACAAAATCACAGAATGGTCGGGGTTGGAAGGGACCTCTGTGGGTCACCCAGTCCAACCCGGGTCACCTACAGCAGGCTGTAGAGGACCTTGTCCAGGAGGGTGTTGAGTATCTCCAGAGAAGGAGCCTCCACAACCTCCCTGGGCAGCCTGTTCCAGGGCTCCGTCACCCTCAGAGGGAAGAAGTTCTTCCTCAAAACGTTTAGGAGAGATTCACTGCCCCGAACCCCACCTGGAGTCCCAGATGCACCCCAAAAGCTGCTGTTCAACTTCCTTTCTCCCTAAAAGACCGACTGGACCCAAACTTTGCATATTTTGCAGAACGAGGTGGATTCAGCACTGGAGCTGGATTGAAAAAAGACCCAAATTTGCTCCTCTGTCAAAGACACAGCTTGGCTTTACCTGCCACAGCTTGCTGTGACACGTGGCTCCTCTCGATCTTCTGCACCAGCTCAGGGATCCGCTCTTTGTATTTCTCCACTATCTCAATCTTCACTTCCAGCTCTTTGTCGTCGATGCGCTCTGCATATTCCCTTAAACCGAAGAAACCTTCAGTTTCTTCCCATTTTTTGATAAAGGAGTCATTTATAACAAGGTTTGCTGAAAAGAAAGTAGCAGACGACGTGAGTTTATTTGACAGACACACAGAACGGCATTTTTTAATTCTAATCAAAGCATTAGGGAAGCGTGAGACGGCGGATGGATCGGGATGCAGGGTCCCGGGATGTACTCCTTGCTCTGTGGCGGGTGGTTTTCACTGAGGATTTTCCCGTTAATGGTGGAAAACCCCCACAAAGCTCGATGCTCTCATCAGAGCAGGTCGTTTCACAGAACAGCATCACTTTGAGACACAGCACTGGCGTACTGCAAAGGCTACGGAAGTCAAAGGAGCTCAGGAGAGGGCGGCTGGCAAACATTCACTGAGCTCGCTCATTTCTGGAGCACGTGTGCTAGGAAGTCTGCACAACTGTCGTGGTTTATCGAGGTTAGTCACCCCCGGAGATATTTGGAAATTGAAGGGAAAATCACAGAATCACAGAATAACAGAATGTTCGGGGTTGGAAGGGACCTCTGTGGGTCACCCAGTCCAACCCCCTGCCGACGCAGGGTCACCTACAGTATGCTGTACAGGACCTTGTCCATGAAGGGCTTGCAAATCTCGAGAAGGAGACTCCACAACCTCCCTGGGCAGCCTGGGCCAGGGCTCCGTCACCCTCAGAGGGAAGAAGTTCTTCCTCGGGTTCAGCTGGAGCTTCCTCTGCTTCAGTTTGTGCCCATTGCCCCTTGTCCTGTCGCTGGGCACCACTGAAAAGAGCTTGGCCCCATGCTCCTGACACCCACCCTGCAGATATTTTTAAGTATATATTAGGTCCCCTCGCAGCCTTCTCTTCTTCAGGCTGAACAAGCCCAGCTCTCAGAAAAGATTCTGAGCAGTCTGAAAAGATGCTATCATGACTTCCGAGTGCCTGGAGCGGAGGCTCAGGGCAGAGACGGCCCCCGAGCCCTTCCAGCCGGTGTTATTCTCTCTTTTTACCCAGATGGCAAGAAGTTTTCCTGGCAGGTCACCTTCCAAAGAACCAGTAACAACACGCATAGACTCAATCACTCGTGGCAGTTCAGTAAGTCCTTTGTTTGTCTCTGTGCCCCATATACAATAGTTGCCTCCCGCCGCCAAGGCAGAGGGATATTTTAAATGAATGATTCATTTCCTAAATGATACTCATCAGCAAAAAGAAAGCATGCGACAGAAGATTCAACAAACCAGGATTAAAACAAAAAAAACCAAAACAGGAAAAGCCTAAGACAAATGAAAAATGAAGTCAAATCAGAAAACATAGGGAAAAAAATCCCAAGCGATGAGTTCACTGGGCTCTTGCACTCGAGGTGAGGCATCGCAGGGAACAGCTGGGGAGGGCTGCGTGATGCAGGCCCCACAATTTTGGCATTTCTGGTATTAACACCAGCCACTGAAGCAGCCAAAATAGCGCAGCCCATGACACCACCACTGAGAAATCCGTTCTCAACTGATAACTGCATGAGGAAATATCAAATAAACCACCAGGAGCGCGTTGCTTTCCACCACCGCAGCAAAAACTAAAACGTCCGTAGGCACGGAGAGAAGGGCGAGGATGCACTCACCTTTTTTCCGTTCATCTGCGGGTTGACTGAGTTTCCAAATATCATAAATTCTGCTCAGGCCGAAACGGGCAAGGCCCTGAAACAAACAGCAATTTATCGTGATGTGCAGGAGTAAAGGTGCTGCGTGGAGTTTGTAGATAAGCGAGCAGGGCCCAGTGGTTACTGGTGTTAAGAGGGAGGGAGGAAGGGAAACATGCTGAAGACGCAGAGCTGGTTTCCTGAAATCCCTGGAGCCGCAGCTGAAGAGGCAACGATCCAGCCGGCTCTGCGGACGGACAGACGGACAGCGAGAACAGGACGCAGTCTGACTGGCGTAACGACAGAGCTACGGCAGAATCCTATATTCAGAGGCTTTTCAAAGAAAAAAAAATTATTTCTAGAATGTTTTCTCTTTGGCTAACAACAACAAAAATGTTTGG